CACGTCCTGAAGAGACACAGGATGTACAAGAAGAAAAAGAATATATATATATATATATATATATATATATATATATATATATATATATATATATATATATATATATATCGGGTGTGCGGCAAAATTGTTCAAATCGTAACAGCAAAATTGTATAATTGTTAAACTTTGAACCGTTGTTTCTTAGAAATGCTAATTCCCCTCTCCAAGGGCACATGGCACAGTGGATAAAGACGTTGGTTAGATCCAGTGACAGGATCCAAAGAGTGTGAGTTCAATACCCGGTTAAGACAGTGGAGAACTTGGAGAGGGGAATTACTAGGAGATAACTGTCATCCATTAAACTACAACAGTTTACCCCAGTGAGCGAAATAAAGGGTTCAGTTCGACATTCCAACCATCTGAAGAAGGCCGGAGCGTACATCTGCCGAAACGTTGTAATAAACATGGCGACAAAGATGAGGACAATAGTCCGAATAATGTAAATAGGGATTTAATTGTCTGAAATAAATTTGGTCTTTTGAATGTGTATCCTTTCTGTTATTATGTTTTTGCAGAAGCGACAAGCACTTTGGACGGATAGAACCGCTAAAGCAAGACAATCTTCAATTTAACTTTCACCTCCATGATTCCGAAGGAGAGAATCCTGACATTCTGTTTGTTGTGTATGAACTGGGAAAGGCTTACTGCAGATTAAAAATTTGACAGCTGCGAAGAATTTAGAATCACCAAGATTAGCAGTAGCATCGTCGGTCATTCAGTTCAGGCGTCTGACTCGGGCTATTTATGCGATAAAGATGCTTTTATATTGCAAGCGGATGGAAATATCAGCTTTTACTCTGTAAGAGAAAGGTGTATTTTAAGTTGTTAAGCAGACAGTCGTAGTTGTTTTGAGGAGATGGGTTAAAAACGACAGAGGTTAACGTATAACGGTTATCGGTTCAGAAAGAGAAATAAGAGAGTTGAGTTCGAATCCTCGGCCAGATTCTCCACCAACTGGACAATGATCTACCCCACGTTGCATTTGATCTCGTCGAGCACTGAGAACTGGGAAAGGATGCGATGCATGCTCACAAGGTAACAAAATGAAAGACAAATGCCGCGTCTAAAAATAAGAACGTGAACCCTGTTTTCCATATTGCATGTATGTGGGTTTTTTAAGGGTCTCGCTTTAGCGTCCGGGTTGGTAGGTAGGTGATACTTGGGACAACATCTACTACGTCACTTCGTCTCCCTCCCAATTTCTTGCCTATCTACTCATCCTGACGTGGTGGATGGCAATGCGAAATTGAGGCATGAGGCATTAATATAATACCATAGCCCGGGTATAGCCTATTTCCGGTTTTGTATCGCCGAAAATCTTTCATCAAATCCTTTACTTCCCATTAATCTTTGGTTAAAGTTAGGAGATCGCGAATCCCGTGACCTATAAGGGTTGTAGGCGAACCACATGTACTAAAGCCGGAGTAGAAGTGGTGTTTTGGGGGATATTCTGTTGGAGCCCAACCCTCTCCAGTACGGTCTTTGCATTGAGAGTTACTTTCTCTTAGGCAGGTTGCCACCTAATATTCACTTACGTGCTATATTACCACGTAAGTGAATGTAATGGATCTGACTGGAATACGAACCGCTACCCATTACACCACCTTTATATATATATATATATATATTAAGAAATGGACAAAGTCCGACAATTTATTTATTAAAGACATTTTTATGTTTAACGTTCTTTTTTTATAGATACAAGTATTTAAGTAAATGCTCTGTTTATAATAAACAGTATTAAATAACATTTACCGTCCTGAATGTCCGAGAAATTTTTATAGAAAAGGACGAATATTTTCTATGAAAATTTCTCGGACATTCAGGCCGGTAAATGTTATTTAATACTGTTTATTATAAACAGAGCATTTACTTAAATACTTGTACGTTAAACAAAAAAAATTTTTAATATATATATATATATATATATATATATATATATATATATATATATATATATAAAAAGTGAACATAGAAGTCAACACTTAGAGGCGAAAGTCTGTTTCATGCTATATGCAATCGTCAGGCCACGTTTGCTGTTATTTTTTTCGGCTATTTATATATATATATATATACAGGTCAGTGGTGCATTGTGGGTAGTCTATTTTGGCGGTTATTTTACCGGAAGTCGTTTATTTGTTTATTTATTTATTTAGGTTAAAATATTTTGCTTGTTTTTATTTATTTTTATTTTTTGTTTCTTATCTTATATATTTATTTATTTATTTTTAATCGGTGTCTTATATTTACACACTCTCTATCTCTGATATTGAGCACTTTATCCCATAAATATAGCACACCTTAAGACTATATTTCTTCATATATATATATATATATATATATATATATATATATATATATATATATAGGTATCGCACATTGAGGGCTGGTGTTAATAAAACAGTGCTTGATATAATACAACAAAGCTATTAAGTATCTATTAATAGATATATATATATATATTATTCCTCACCTGTAAGCATCACTCAGAGTTTCATGGTGAGGAATATCCATATTTATTAATACATCCACTTGCTTGTAAATACACTTGGGAAAGGTATAAATCCATTTCACATATTATATATATATATATATATATATATATATATATATATATATATAGATAGATAGATAGATAGATATGATTATATATTATGGATAATATATAACGATAACACATATATATATATATATATATATATATATATATATATATATATATATATATATATATATATATATACATCAATCTAAAACTATCCCTCAAAAACTTGTATTAAAAATAAAAGAAACCAAATTCCTTTGTAACTAAAGATGTCACCAGATAAATCAGGAAAAATACATTTTCTGCGAAAACAAATTATAGTCATGGAACCTTAAGATTGTCTCTCCCTAAATTTAATTAATTAATTAATACTTGCTCTGTTATTACATTGAGCTCTCTGGATTACATCCTCATTGGAATTATCCATACGGATGACCAAACCCTTCATAATCTCTCGTCGATTTAGACGTATGAGTGTCAAGCAACTCAGTTCCTAGAAACTGACAATTAGACCACCTGCAAAAATCATTTGATTCTAGTGATGAAGTATTTGTACAAAACCAACTACACTTTTTGAAGAGCCGAATACAGAGACTTGGTGCAGGTTTTAAATTCAAGACTCTAGAACACAGTCTGTCCTGCTACCTACTCAGAGCTGGAGGGAAAAGAAGTGGTTTCATACCTTTCCCAAGGGTATTAGCACATAAGTGAATGTAATAGATTCGACTGGAATTCGAACTCGGCTCTCCGATTCTTCCATCCGTGCCGCTATCCATTACTCGACCTTGCCTTCCTAGCTCAGAAAAACGAACATAAAAAGAATCCATCCACTGGCTTATTAAAGAGAACAGCTTAAGATCAAGATAAAACTATCTCTTCCCTTTCTAATATATATATATATATATATATGTATGTATGTATGTATGTATATGTATATATATATATATGTGTATGTATGTATGTGTGTGTGTGTGTGTGTGTGTGTATGTATGTATATATATATATATGTGTGTGTGTGTGTGTGTGTGTGTGTGTGTGTGTGTGTGTGTGTATCAGACAATTCCAAAAGAAACATCCACTGAACTATCAAAGAGAAACACTTGAGATCGAAATAAAATCATTTCTTCCCTTTCTATGTGAGTGTCCATAGTATCACAGAAATTCCAGCTGTGTTTGTTACGGTCAGTTCCGAACTTGTAAACGGCATGAAGCCATTTTTTTCCCTTGATATATAGACGTTTTGTGGCGAGCTCGCGTCAGTACAGACGCAAAAGAGGCTCCGAATCGCGTGTGTACATGTCTGTCAAAACCAGTTACATCCGCGTTTCCCCCGTTAGCAGCAGAACAACTTGGCATGTCCAGATACTCTGCAACTTATGAAGATACGGGTTTCAGTCAACTGCCTCATGTCAATAAAAACGACAGGAAAATTTGCAGTCAGGAGTGGGTAGTTTCGAGGCTCGGTGTCTTGTGAAGTCGTTCCTTTGGAAATTTTGTTCCTAAAGTTGAGTGCCGTGGTTTCTGGGACAATGTTGGTTCTGTTTTTATCCATATCTTTCTGTATCTTTCCCTTCTCTATCTGTTACCCCACGTGGTGGCTGCTTCACTAAGTAATCTGGGAGCAGCGAAACGTCATCACTCTTATATTCACATAACCTTGCTGACTGTCCTTCAGCATTTTTTGGTATTATATAAAAATTAAACAAATAATTCTCTCCGTGGCACTTAAACAAAGGCAATCCGTAACTGGCAGAATTCCACACCCACGGGATTGAAACCACTCCCCTCAAGTACTTGAGTTCTGGTCAATATGGTAAAGTGTGCCATTCGGCTCATTGTGTAACATTAAAGACAATCCGGAAATCAAAACCAGTTGGTCTGCTAATGGGTATATAGAAATTCTTCAGCTTTAGTTGGTAATCAGTTTAGAAAAAAGTGACGATAAAAACACTTGTCTCCTAGCAACCGGAGTCACTCGTGGGGGTGTTCGGCTTGAAAAAATAAATGAGTAAAATTCTAATTTCACCTGGGTTGCGCAATCTGCTGCATTTTTTTTCTTTTTACAAAGGGAGATAATCAAAAGATAGGTGGTAAGAAATGGAATGCAAAATAAAATAATAAGCGAAATACTTAGTACCAAGTACAAGCGCCATCTTGAATAAGCACATTCAGTGGGAATTTTTCAAATTAAAAGTAAAATGCAATGTTTGTGCACGTTTTCTGACGCAACAATATTCCTGGAAAAAAATTGCCACGGAGAGAATTCTTTGTAAAATAATAAGTGCGCCGTTGAAAAATAAGCAGCATTTGGAATTAAAAGAAACAATTTAATCATGGCGGCACATGAGAGGAAGACGAAACAAATGAGTGTTTGATGACAAAAACGCTGATATGGGGATTAAGATTAAATGAATGATTAGACAAAAAAAAAAAAAAGAAAAGAAAAAAAGGGGGACAGAAAAGGGGAAGAAATAATAAAAAAAGAATATAAGTAAAAACGAGGAGAAAAAATAAGCGAGAAAGTGAAATGAAAAAGAGGAGAGAATAAATGAAAACAGAAAGAAAGAAAGAATGCAAGAAATAAAGAAGGAAAGAACGTTAAGAAAAAAGAGAATACTGCATAAGAAAGAAAGTAAAATGAAAACGAGGGATGTTTTTTTTTTAATCAATTCACCCCAAGCAAGGCAATAATGCCACTAAGATGCAATGAGCCAATAAGCGTGAAAGAGACTAAGAAGACTTTAGAAGGAACAGAAAACTGAATCCTAAACAGGAAACAAGGGTTAAACTCCTATTCATAGTGATTTTCTAAGCCCGGCTTAGATGTGGCACATGGCCGAAAGTATGGGGCACCCAGTGAGGATCGAACTCACTACTCAGTCGTAATTGATCTATCAAGACACGCTTTCTAACCATTACACCACGTCGAGGTGCCCAAAAAAACTCTTATTCATATTCAAAAGATCGGGGAGCAGTGTGAACCTTCTGATAGGCGAATCTATCTACTTCTATTAAATAATAAAAATGAAGTGAATAAATGAAAATAGGAAGATAGAATGTATGAATGAAAGAAAGAATAAAAAAAGAAGGTAAGCAAAAAAGAGGCGATAGCATAAGAGAAAAAGTGAAATAAAGAGTAAGAGAATAAATAAAAAACGGAAAAGAAAAAAGAAAAGAAAGAAAAAGAAAGAAAGATAAAAAGAAGGTAAGTAAAAATAAGAGAGAAAGTGAAACAAAAAACTAACGGAATTAATAAAAACGCAAAGAAAAAAGGAACGGAGGAAAAAAGAAAGAAAAAGGGAAAGAAAAGAAGGTAAGTAAAAAAAGAAGAGGTAACATAAGAGAGAAAGTGAAACAAAAATAAGGGAATTAATAAAAATGGAAAGAAAAAACGAAAGAAAGAAAAAGAAATAAAAAAGGGAAAAAAAAGAAGGTAAGTGAAAAGAAGAGATAACATAAGAGAGAAAATGAAACAATAAATAAGGAAATTAATTGAAACGAAAAGAAAAAGGAATGGAGGAAAAAAGAAAGAAAAAGGAAAGAAAGGATGAAAAGAAGGTAAGTAAAAAAAAAGAGGAGACAACATAAGAAAGTGAAATAAAATGAAACGAGGGCGTAAATAAAAATCGTAAGAAAGAATGAACTATAAATCATTTAATAAAAAAAAGAAGTGATTTTTTACAACGTTTTAACAAAATACTTCAAGCAAAGAAGAGAAGAAAATAAAAAGAGATACACAGAATATAAAAACGACGTGAGAAGGTGAAACACTAAAATAAAACAACAAAATATCTGACCACTCAAGTCTGTGAATAAAACCAATAACTGTCCGAGAAAAATAAACAGATTAAAATTCTACAGTATTTTGTAATTTCAGCGGGTTGCCCCAACCAATCCAGATGACGTGTGTGCAAATAGATTAGCTAGCTACCCCGACCAGGACATGCTCCTTAATAGGATGCACAGAATCCCCAAAAAATGGGAAACTGATAGTAGAGAAAGGAAAAATACCTCTTAGCATTATCTGAAATTTTTAATGTTGATGTTCAATCTGTGTGATTAATCCAGAAAGAAATAATCGCTTAAGAGATAACATAAAAATAGTTTCAATATATATATATATATATATATATATATATATATATATATATGAAGAAAAATATATACGGAAAAAACAAACAAAAATCCTTATATACAATTATGCTGTTTTAATGTTAATATGTCAACGTCGGACGTTTCGGTCTAATAAACCGTCTTCAGGACATATTCATAAATTATAATTAACATTATCAATTCAACATGACAAAGACGATGTACATAAGAACAAGACTTAAGAGAATCCAAACAGATTGTCATGTTGTATTGATAATGTTATAATTTATGAATATGTCCTGAAGATGGTTTATTAGACCGAAACGTCCGACGCTGACATATTAACATTAAAACAGCATAATTGTATATAAGGATTTTGTTTGTTTTTCCGTATATTTTTCTTCATACCGTCGGATCTATATCCATATATTTGCTTACATATATAAATATATATATATATATATATATATATATATATATATATATATATATATATATATATATATATAGTGCTGGGCAAAAGTAATTAAATCTCTAAGGTAATATTTAAAATAGTTTGCCTTTTTTTTTTCCAGATAGTCAACAAATCTTTATCTATATATTCATGGAGAAAAACCTTTATTAAATGAATTACAACTACTTTCAAAGACTTTTATCAAGCTGGAATAAAAATACTAATAAAAAAATTAAGATTTGCAAAATTAAGTGAACCCTAATATTTACACTCTCTATTTTTGTTTTACATGGTTGCCAGTGCAAATCATTTTTTGTGCACATGTAAAAATGTGTTCATCTTTTTGGTAAGCCGTGCATACTTCAGTCAAATGATATAACTCATTGTGTACGCAAAAGGGTGCAGCTAGAGACTAAACTTAATATATATGTGTGTATGTGTGTGTGTGTGTGCGTGTGTATGTGCAAAGATCAAAAGAACTTCCAGAAGCTTTAAAAAAAATTGCATAGTTAAAACCTATAATGATGGAGAAGCTAATAAAATTATTTAGTGTGCACTCCTCCACCGTGCAACAAATTATTTATAAATGGAAGTCCTTTGATGAAACATCATAACCAGTAAAATATTTTGCGAAAAATAAGTGCTTGTGCAAGAAGACATCTAGTTCAGAAAGCCCAAGCAATTCCTGCTGTGACTTTTGCGGTTCTTCAATACTCACTGGCCAATGTCGGAATCAATGGGTATACATCTACAGTTCGATGAAATCTGAATAATGCTGATCTTCATGGCAGAATGCGTAGAAAAAAAACACAACTTACGAAATAGTACAAGCATGCTCACCTCAGCTATGCCAAAGCTCATATTAATAAGCTAAAAAAATTCTGGCAGAAGATTTTATGATCAGATGAGACCAAACTAGAGAAACGATAAGAGAAGAATTTGATTCCAACCATTAAACATGGCGATGGCAGCATTATGATTTGGGGGTGCTTTAATATAGTTAGAACAAGCAACATAGTATGTGACGGCACAATGGACTATGCAAGATACTAAGCAATTTTGAAGACGTGACTTGTCCTCAGTTCAAAAGTTGGGTTTAGGTCGTGACTGAAACTTCCAAAAAGACAATGATCTGAAGCATCATAGCAAATCTACAAAAGAATGCGTTGGTAAAAAAGAAAATTTAAGTCTTGGAATAGCCTAGTCAAAGTCCTGATCTAAACCCAATCTGTGATTCCAGCAGTACATGCAAGAAACTTCCACAATTGCTTGAAATTAACAGGGTTTCTAGTTAATATTATTAAGTGTTGGCTATTAACTACGAACATGCCCACAATGTGCTAACTGTGCCTGGAAAATAAAACATCTGTATAACACCAAAAAACATGCATACAACGCACATAAACTTAATTAAACTGAATAAATCAAATCATCCTTGATAATGGCTAAAAGTATAAACGAAAGCGCTCTCAATTATAGAACATTTGGACAGTTTCTACACACTTTGTGTTAAAAAAAGAAAACATTTGTTCGAACACAAGAAAAATAAAATAAGAAGCTTAATTAAAAGCTTGTCTGTCGTTTTTAATGAAACATGCATAAATGAAGGATTGCTGTCTCAATACACACACAATATATATATATATATATATATATGTGTGTGTGTGTGTGTGTGTGTGCGTGTGTGTGTGTGTTAAATACGTTTTTGTTTTATTATTAGGCGACGGATTTATTAATGTACCTAGATCTGCATAGAAAAAAATATTTTTCTTTGATCCTAGAAATATATATTTTAAGTTTAACTTATTTTGTTTCTTTTTCATTTTTTTTCTTTGTATTTTATTGTTAATCTTTTTATTAATATTTTCGTGTTATTGTTCATTCTCTGGTAGTAATCGTCTGTTTCTTCCATTTTTCTTGAATCGTTATCATTATTTGTTTTTCAGGAAATTCCTTTTTCAATTCTGTCGAATTTTTTAAAACAACTTCTCTGTTCTTTTCTCTTTGATGTCCCACATCTGAAAAAAAAAAATAAAAATAAAAATAAAAATAAAATAAGAAAATAATAATAATCTTTTGGTTTTCATTATTTTTTCTTTATTGCCATTAATATTGATATTCTTTCCACCTGTCTTAGTCGGACGCAAGGCCCAAATTTTACAGCATCCAATGAGAATCTTGCTCTCTGGAGGAAGAAACAGTCTGCTAGATATCTTTCGAAGTGTTGCTCCAACACAAAAGTCACAAATTGAAAATTTCCTAATTCGAATTGTAGCCGTAATGATTTGTTTGGTTCGTTTTCCAACCATTGTTCTACGACGAAGGCTGCACCACCCATCCAAGATCAAGAGAGAGACATTGTGATCTCCCCGATCCTTCATTAGCCCCATAAAGTCTGCGCTTCACCAGGGCCACATGAGGTTCTTGAATTCAGAGTTGTCTTTCTCCGAGACTCGATGTCCAACCAAGGTTGAAGTCCCGTCCGGATTTATACATTTGTCAACGGTATTTATCAAGGTATTTGCCAAGGGTGTATATCAAAGGGTATTTATCAAGAGTATTTGTCGAGAGCATTTATCAATGTATTTGTCAAGGGTATTTGTCGAGGGCATTTATCAAGGTATTTGTCAAGGGTATTTATTAAGAGTATTTGTCGAGGGCATTTATCAAGGTATTTGTCAAGGGTATTTATCAAGAGTATTTGTCGAGGGCATTTATCAAGGGTATTTGTCAAGCGTATTTATCAAAGGGTATTTGTCGAGGGCATTTATCAAGGTATTTGTCAAGGGTATTTATCAAGGGTATTTGTTGAGGGCATTTATCAAGGGTATTTGCGCATAAGTAAATGTAACGAACAAGTGGAATTCGAACGCTGCTCTCCAATTTCTCATTCCTAGCCGCTATCCACTACATCACCTGCACATATCGAAGGGTACAGAATTCTTTATATGTATTATATTTAGTTTACTCTTACACACGATCACACCAAGCAGAGATCAAATTCTCTATTGAAGCGATTTGTCAGGCTGCTGTGTTAAACAAGTGATCTGTAGTAACTTGAAGCGAATCGGTCAGCTATGGTCAGCTCAAATTCACACCTGATCAACAATTATTTTTGACCAATAAGAAAAGCTGGTTTCGAACTAAAATCTTCTAATTTGTACTTCAAAGGAATCAGTCGACAACATCCGGATAAGTTGCTATAGTTTAAATGGAAAGACTTTTTTTTAGACTTATTGACCAATCGGCACACTTTATTTTGATTCTCAAAAAAAAAAGAGAGAAAAAAAAGAAAAAAACAAAAAACAAAGCAGCTTGTTTGACCTGCTAACCTCTATATAAGGAAAGATCTCCACTAGTTTAATCAGAGTCGAGTTCGTTCGTCTATCCAGCGCCGTTACACACACACACACACACACACACATATATATAGAGAGATTCATACACCGAACATACAAGAGTTAACTTTGCATTTTAACACAACACACACATACGCAGCATTCGTATAACTTTTTTCAACGACAAACTGTAACTTATTTTCCGAGAAGAAGTATCCGTCTCATCTCATACTGACTTTAAAGATGAACTAAAATGATTTTGTATAATAATACAAAATTCTTAAAATAATTATTGCTACTTTATTTGAAATCAAAACGTTATCTTTTCATTCCTGCTTATTATTCTTGATTGAATGTAATTTGAACCTTTTACTTTAAACTCAGCTTTGACGAGGACATATTTTCGCTGGTGGAAGATAATTTGTCAGATATAAATAATAGTCAACTCCGTCACACATCCCTAGCGAGATACCTCAGGTTTGTTATTGATTAAGTTTAGCTTTATCTTGCACAAACTGACAAAAGACCTTTTTGGTTAACTTGCTATCATTCGCCGCAGTTCTTTGAAGCTCATTGGAACAAAGCAATAACTATGAGAAATACGATAAAGATCGGACTAAAAACGGGGGTCTGCTGAACTACATCTACAGTTTAACACGCCCGTACCTGTCTTGAATTTCTTCTTTTTTTTTACTCGAGATA